GAATACCTTGAGGCCTTCGACAGAGAGAAGGCCGCTGAGAATGCATTCTTTGAGGCCGGTTCCGAGAACGATAACGTCGTATTCTTCATCCATGGCTGAAGAAGAAAATCGGTGAAAGCGAGAATTTCAGAGCGAGATGGAAAACGGAGAATGGTGAAATGAAAGAGGGTGGGGTTTTTCAAGTGCGCGATCTGGAACAAGTCTTAAGCGGGAACTAACGAGAGTAACGGACAAAGCAAGCGCTACTTTCACGCATAGCAAAGCGCGTGTACACCACGATACGCAAGTAAATCTCCCTAAAGAAAATTACAAATAGATCCCTCAACTTTATGCAAATTTTGAATATGTCCTTAAAACTCTTATATTTGTGTTTACGACCTCCCCTTTTGTTTCTCTCACTTTTTAATTTTATGCTTAATAATAATTAAACAAAATAATAATAATAATTTATAGATAATAGATTTGTTAATTTTAATAAAGGTTGAAAATCGAATAAATTTATTACACATAATTACACTTTGTCTCCCGGGGGGATCCACCACAGGTTGGGTTTGAGAGTCGTGTGATGGGTGACTATCCAGCACTGTTCGGAGAGCAAGCACTTTTAGTCTGTGTTGGTGAATAAAAGCCCCCCTATCAAGTCAAGCAAGAAAGAAGCGGCTCTTCCCACGGCGGAGTCGCCATTGACTCTATTTATTATTATGGTAAATCACTGTATCAAGATGTCAACGTAAAATTTTGTCGTACTAAAAAAACAAACTTTCCAGTATCAATAGATTAGAGGTTGAAATTTCTCGTCCATGGATTTGAACAATTGCAATGATGTAAGAACTGTAAATGTTAAAGTGATAGAGTTGTTTTGGAAATTAAAACCATATTTGATACCCAACACCCGTGAGCTATCTTTAAGGCTTATTTACTACTGATTTTGAAAATAGATATCGAGCACCCTAATTTGGAATTGATTGGTCGTGTATCACATATAAAATCTTATAGGTTAAATTTGTAAGGACCCTATTTTCTTATTACAAATAAAGTCTATCTCTTCATGTATGAAAAAGGTAATAAAAATCGTTTAAATGATATATCATAAATAAATAACGTGAATTTACCTAAAATAAAGCTACCCCTTATCTCACTTAAATGACAATGAAAATAAAAACCAATCATGAATGCAACTAGTCAACTACCTAGTTTCGATCCAATGGCTTTTACCATGACATCAACAACATTCATATACGATATCTTACTTTTATACTTGAAAAATAAGTTGCGTGTGGATTTTAGGAAATAATCCGTATGTAATCTTATTGTTGGAATCGAGAAATGCAATCGAACACAATATGATGAGATCTATTTTTTTTATAAAAACATTATGACATAGTTTTCCTACATACGAGCCACACATACGCACATCCATCAAGTAAGTCCGTAGACGTACCTCTAATCATAACAAATAAGTATACGAGCCACACACTGAGAGACATCACAGAGAGAAAGGGTAAGCATAATATCATGGTAAACATAGATATCGTAAGTTACAGATCTGCACTAATCATAACAGGTAAGTATCCAAATGCACGTAACATGCGTATTTGCAAACCTCAATTTACTAATTACATATCGAATCAAATCCTACGAATGGATAAAATATAGGCTTTCCAATAAAAAATTTACTCACAAAATGCAATTATACATATATGTGCAAACTCATCTGTTCAATTATTTTCTAAACCAGTCCTAAAATGCAAAAAAAAAAAAAAAAAAGGGAAATTATTGTTTATCCAAGTACTTCTTAAAACTAGGTGGAGACGTTTTTCCATAAAGTAATATTTTCTGTTTCTAGACGCCGATCAGCATTCCTCAAATAAGAAAAAGAAAAGATATTGTAAAAAAACTTTGAAGAAAGTCGGAAAAAGAAAAAACTCAAAGAGTACAATATCTAGTGGGCAGTCATCTGCTGACTTTCAATGAAATGTTGGATGGAAGTTTCACATCGGCTAATTTAGGAAATGATCATGTGTTTATAATCAAAGAAATACTATCTACATTGTTACGAGACCTTTGGGGAGAACCAAAAAATAAAGCCACGAGAATTTAGGCTCAAAGTTAACAATATCTAACCAGAAATATTTAAATGAAATTAGTACCTAAGAAAGAGCAATAGCCTAATAGCCTGACAGCCTTCTATAGCTTTAAGCAATGAGTGAACAGAAACTAACCATCACCGAATTTCAATACCTGTATTAGAATATGAGCACCATTCATTTCTTACAATGTTCTTACCCTCGCCTGTATTGAGTGATTTCAGAAAGAAATGCCATAGAATTGAACGGCGACACGAAAACGAAGTATAATTTCCCACAACAAAGAACTTCTAAGCCAGAAAGAAATCGAGAAATTCTAAAACAGTTCGATATTTCAATAGCATAACATAAATAGAGAACAGATACCTGCATAATATGTTTATACTGCCTATGGAACGTCGTGTGGGTTTACGGATGGGTGCATCAGTCATACGCATCTCATGTCTTTCATTCAGAATCTGCTTTGTAAGAAAAGCTTGAAACATCATTGTAATTGCTCACGGAACACGGGATTCTTTATCCAATCATGAGAAACTAAAAAGAACTACGCCTAGCTGTGAAGAATGTTTAGAACTTCATTGACAGAGAATGTTCTACTCGGTAAAAACAAGCAATCATCTAATGTAAATGCCAAATTCCCTTCAGAAGAATACATAGCAACATATTTGACAATGGATATCATTACATAAATTTGATAAGACCTGAGAACGTGTAGATAAGAATGTACATGTGCATGCTAGATGGTGCATTCGAATTGATGGTCACTATAAAAATGACTCTTTTGCAAATCATGAGAAACTTTAAATAACAGAAGATACCAAATATGTTGAAGAACCAACTGCTGAAAATATTAATCAAGAATATGTCTACTTTCACTAACAAGCAATCATCTCAAGGAATGGCAAGCAAAGAGCATTTGAGAAGTCATGAGCACCTGCATTACTGCTCAAGTTTTAGCAAAAGCCGCTCTCCTGCCACCACAATGGCATGGCATCAAAAGAGTGACCGGAGTTCAATGCTAAGCTTGGGGGATGACATGATTTTTGGTATCAAAAGGGGAGGAAACCTGGCCAGGAAAGATTTGATCCAGCTCAAAACTCCTAGACTAGAAGAGCAAAATCGACATCCAAATTGGCCAGTGCAAAGATGATCATTGATGCTGGGAGTTGAGTGGATAAAGAACGTACATGGGCATGCCAGTGTGCAAGGATTGAGACAATGTGAGAATAAACATGTGGAAGTTGAAGTTTATGCTTCATAATTTGTGTCATGGCAATAGTGTAGCATTGTTTGGATGTAGGACTAAAGAGATGGTTATTTCTTCATCTAATGAAACAATATATGCCTTTTGGGGTGGACTGCCATGATAAGTATTCTAATGCAACCAAAATGCAGAACAGAAGGGGCCAAGAGGAATACCTCTGCACTTTCAGATCAACCAATAGACTTCATGGCTACATGATTAGATGAACTGACGTAGAAATTTTCTTTTTTTTTTCTCCTTTGTCCCAATGGAGAAGCAACTAGGACTATCAAGAACTACAAAGAAATAAAAAGAGAATAGGAGGCCACCACTAATATACATGGCAATGGAGGAGAATCTTATACTATCAGGGAGTACACAGAAATAAAAGAACAATAGGAGTCCATTCATATAATAGCAATAGAGATTGATTACAGCATAAAGTTTTCAGTTTTCCAAAAGTAGAAACCAAAAATAATATATTGCAATACTCATTGAGAATAAAGGATCAAATAGAAACGATCGAACCTCACCTCATACCTCTCCCACCGCCACTGCCTATGCCGTAAAAAAATCTTTTATTTCTATCTTATGAATCTCCCATTGGTCATTGGAAGGAAGCACTTACGGAATATGTTAAAACCAACTCCCAAGATGTAAACATGCCCAAGGAAGGGACAAAACATAAAGATGTGATATTAGAAACTTACCCAAGAGAATTACGCTAAGCATGCTCTTCACCATTCAAACCTTAAATCGAGTGAAAAGATAAGCATTTTCAAACAAAGGAGTTGCAGCTGGACAGACCATAGCCCGAAGGATGTCAATAGAATGCAAAACTTATTTTATTGCATCTGTTTCCTTTTTCCAGGATGAGAAAAAGATCTATATATTCCTAGAAAAGTGAAAAGATACAACATGAGTGACAAAGAGAATCACAACAAACGCAGAAATACCTCATAATTGACCATTAATTAAAAGGGTAACAATTTAAAGTAGACCAGGAAACTTCAATAGAACCCCCCCTCCCCCGAACTCGTAGTCGCATCATGGCCATAGAACATAATTATCATAGATTTCACTTATTTACAATGTCAACAGTACAACTGAAATTTACTCACAAGTATACTATAATAATAAAACGCAAGAAATGCCAAATTTTATGAACTACTAACATGCTAAGAAGTATTAAATATAAGAGAAACAAATTACCATAACAGCTAGAAAAGAGGACGTGAAAGACTAAAAAATGAAGAAACTTATAAACTAAAATGCTGGGAAGTTGCACCATTAAAGATGTCAACACGCATTATTTGCTAAATGCATCTCATAAAAAATCCAATCCATTATCATACTAGAGAATATCATAAGATAGAGAAAATAGTATCCTGAATGAATATCTGACATGCAGGAGGGTGTAGTTGAGAATTGTAAGCCCTCAATTTCCTCGTTGAAGTAACCGGAAAGTAACAATATGAACTTCAGAGACAATGAAAATTCTATTTCCAATAGATATAATTGTGTCAGCAGAGAAAAAATTGTGCAAGGAACACATCAATGTAAAATCTGCACAATTTCACAGTTTAAATTTGTTAAGTTTAACTTCTCCCAGGAACCGTAAAATCTTGATCGAGAAAGAAAACACGTTAGAATGAGTTATCAGGAAGGACTGGGCAAAACGCATTGCAGCTTAAAATTATTTTTATACTACAATATCAAAATACAACATCCAGAAAGGAAGAGTCTTACTGTAAGAATAACACCCAAGAGCCTTACTAACTAGCTTTGACCTTATCATCGGCCACAGCATTAAGTATTGGCAGACTATTCAAAAATTCATCAAGGCCCTCAAAGAACCCAATTCCTTCAATATTATCCACCCCATGTCCTTCACTTACACCCGTGGCGGGCTCCTCCACCTCGTTGCTGAATTCGACATTCAAATCCAACTTTCCTAGCTCCTTTGGCCCTTTCCCTTTATGCTTCTTCCCGGTGACCCCTGCGGTTGCCACAGCCTTCTTACTAGGTTCAACCTTTATGGAGTTTGACAAACCAAACCGCATCAACCCATTCATGTTCTCAACTTCATCAGCATTTCCATTCCCCACATTTCCTTGGTTCCCTTTCTGTAAGCTTTCAGAATGTGATCTCTTATCATTTCTACTAGCTAAACCCCTCTTAGACCTCTTCTTCTTATTACTCACCCTCCCCCATTCTTCATCAGAACTGTCACTCGGTTCCGAAACCTCAACATAAATATCATCCTCTTCACAAAAGAATCTTGGTGTAGATTTCTTGGCGGGTTTAACATTTCTAGATTTCCCCGATTTTGTTCCCCCTTGGCCAGGCAAAGGACAGGTGAATATAGACGAAAAGGGCGACCAGGCGACAGACCCCGTTGTCCCTCTAGCATTCGGAGAAACCCCAAGTGGGAAAAACCCCCAGCAACAAAAGGTAGAAGCATTTTCAGCCACCGGTGGTGACGGAATAACCGCTGCTTGAAATGCCTTGGCACAATTCTGGCACCTAAGAACACAATCCTCGTAACCCTTAGGGTACTCATAGACATTATAACAGTAAGGACAAGCAGTCCAGAAACTCGGAATGCTTGACTCAGTCGGCAGAGTAGATTCAGCTTCCCGTGAGGGACGATTGGAGTCAATGTGCTGCTGAGTGGCTTCCTGAGTTGACTCGGGAACATCACTGACATTTGGCCTCTCTTCAGCTACAGATACTTTAACGTTTGTGGATTTGGGGTTTTCTTTTACAAATTGCTGCTGCTGCTGCTGCGGATCCTCTTGATGTTGTGACCGCTGGGGAGACGACTGAGGAGGTTGTGGTTGCGGCTGCGCCGGTGGCGGTGACGGTGACGGCTCTGAACGTTCCGGCGGTGGAGTTGGCGGCGGTTGTTCCTGCTGCTGAGACTCCTCTACCGTAATCCTAGTCTCCTTCCTTGGACTAGTTTTAACAGGCTGCGGAAATTGAGGCTGGTGCGGCGGGGACTTAGGTTTTTGACTCGACTCAGTGGTTCCGGGGCTACACATAAGATAATCATTATCGTACAAGGCTTTTCTCAAGGGATTCGAAAGCACACACCATGCATCAGAGACAAGCCTGAAAGCGTGATCCGCAAAAGCGACTCTGTTAGCCTCCGGGTGAAGAAGAAGCGCCAGTCGCCGATACTGAGTTGCGATTAACTCAATGCTCTGAGTCGGCTGCGAAATTTGCAAGATACTATACCAGTCATACTGATTGTTGATCCGTCCCTCCGCCGCTAACAGCGTATCGGCGACGGCGATAACCCTGTCCGCCGCCTCCAACACAATCGGGTCCGATTCTCTAGCTCGGATCGCAAAGCTCCTAGTTCCATAGAAGTCACGCGCCGCTAGAAGCTTCTCCGCTATGCTCAACCACCGCAGAGCCTCCGCCCTGTTCCCGCCGCCGCCGTTCTCCATTTCCCAACCTCTCTCTCTCTCTCCCTCTCCCTTCGAGCTCCGGACCCCCCCCCCCCCCCCCCCCCCCCC